GCACCTGCGAGCCAGACGGAAGACCCCCTGCGGCCCGAGGACAGCCGCTCGACTCCCTTGACCCATTTCAAGCCCGAACCCAGGTGTGCGGAAGACGGCCAAGGGCACAGTTGTGCCTGCTATTTTTAGAACAAAGCACACAAAGCTGCGTCCATTTCCCTCAGAATTTTCCTGAATAGTATCAATAGCTTAGGAATCAGAAGACATTTTTCTTTTTTTCCTTTTCACACCGCCGCTTCGAAACATCCCACGTCCCGGACAAGTGGGCCGCCCCGACGATGACGGCCGCCCCGGGGGCACAGCCCGGCCGCTGTGACTCTGTGACGGGGACGTGCTGTCGGAGGCAGAACTGTGCTGGGTTCTGATAACGGGCCCCTGGATGCAAAAAGTGTTAAAACTCTCAGAGCCAAACAGAAGCTAGTCCGGAAATAAATTTCCCTTGAAGTTTTTGGAGGATTTGTTTTTTAAGATAAGAAAAATGTTTAGGGTTATTATAAATCTCAGTATTTATTAACAAGTGGAAGTACATCTAGGACAGTTCTGTTGGCCCAACCGGCCAGATGCCTGCTTTGGTGCACGTCTGGCTGTGGACACTGTGGGCTTTCTGAGCGCCCTCTCCTTCACCCACCGCACCCCGCCCGCAGCCCCCCTGCCCGGGGCGGACTGGAGGAAGGATCCTGAACGGGAAGGGGCTGATTGCTTTGGATTAGCCGCCGTCGGTGTCACGCCGGTCACCCTGGTGTATGCATCCATATGCTTGTCATAAATTCTTGCAGGACGTCATCTCTACACCCAACGCGGGGCTCAGACTCAGAACCCCAAGATCAGGAGCCCCATGCTCTACTGACGGAGGCAGCCAGGAGCCCTAGTGCAAGGGTTTTAAAGGTTTAATGAACAGCAGTGCGCGGTCCCTGCGTCTGTCCCGTGACCACAGCGGAAGGGCGGGTGGCAGACTGCCCCGGACACTCAGCCACCCGCGGGCACGGGACCTCCCGCCTTCACCCGACTCCCTCACCCGCCGCGCCAAGTCCTGATCCTGGGTCGGAGCGGCAGGTGAGCGCTGGGGTCCACTTGTCGGACTTCCTGGGGTCTTTCCCCAACATACAGTGAGTCATGGAAGTGACCATGGAAGTGTCAACCGTGCCACCGTGGAGTGTCTTCTTGCTGCCTCCTTGGCTGCTCGTGCGGCCCACCCTGCGCCTTTGTAACACACGGCCCCAGACGCTGCAAAATTAACAGCGGGGCCTCCTTTGGCAAATACTATTATTTTTTTTTTTTTTTTATTTTTGAGCGAGAGAGACAGGGTGTGAGCAGGGGAGGGGCAGAGAGAGAGAGAGAGAGAGGGAGACACAGAATTGGAAGCAGCTCCAGGCTCCGAGCTGTCAGCACAGAGCCTGATGTGGGGTTCGAACCCACAAACTGTGACATCATGCCCCGAGCTGAAGTTGGATGCCCAATCGACTGAGCCTCCCAGGCGCCCCTATTATATTTTTTTAAAAAAGAAGTGTTTAGGTTCCCACCAAAACTGGAAAGTTCAGAGTTCCCATATGCCCCCTCCCCACCCCCTAGATCCCCCTGCTACCAACAATCTGGACCATGGTGGACAAATAGAATTTTGCTTTTTTTTTTTTTTTTTTTAATTTGAGAGAGAGAAAGAGGGAGGGAGAGGGAGAGGAAAAGAGAATCTTAAGCAGGCTCCGCACTCGGCGCAGAGCCCAATGAGGGGCTCGATCCCTTGGCCCTGGGATCATGACTTGAGCTGAAATCAAGAGTCAGATGCTCAGCTGACAGACACCCAGGCGCCCCTTGACTTCTACGCTCTTCCAGCCAAAGAGTTTCCTTTGACCCCCGTGAGCCTTCTCGTAGCCTCTGCCCCGCTGGCCTGGCAGCACCCCTGGGCGGCACAGCCCTTCTGGTTGTGCTGCAGAGTGAGGCCACCGCCGCATTGCTGCGCTTGTGGTCGTGTCACCGTGTCACCCTTCACCCTCCGTGGTTTCGTGCGGTCCCGACACAGGCCCTGGGGCCCAGGCGGCACAACAGGGACACCCCCGTCTCATCGCGGAGCAAACCGGCCCCGAGGAGGCAGGTGGCCTAAGCAGGTCACATAAGCGACTGGGGATCAGAAATGAAGTCCTTTGCGCTTCCCCGGAATCCCGCAACGTCCCGTCTGCAGCTCCAAGTCCTTCCCGCGACCCCGGCCACGCTGCCCCGTCCAGGGTGAGCGCGGGAGGAGGGGGGGGGGGGAGGCGGGTCCAGTGTCCCTGAAGCTGCCGGGCCGACGGGGCGGCGCCCTTCTTCCTTCCTTCCTCGCAGCCCGGCCTAGCAGGTGCCCCCGGGCTCGCAGCCGTTGCGCGCTGCCGGGTCCCCGCGAGCGAGAGGGACGCTCCGCGGGCCAACCCTGCGGGCCGGGCTGCTAGTGAGATGCAGGGCCGGGTGGAGACGGCCCGGGTTGGGTGGGGTGGGACGCCAGCGGCGAGGGGGACCCGGAATGACAAGGCTGGACGGGCAACAGCTGGCGCTGAACTCGAGCGGTGGGAGAGGAAGCCCGGGGGCCGGTGCGTCGCGGACTCCGCACTTGGTGAAGGGGGTCACGGCCGTGAAAGGCGAGCAGAAGTGAAGGTCACGTGCTCTGGGAGGAGGCATGAGAAGAAGCCCCCTGTGCGACTCTAGCACACAAGTCAACACAGGAGGAAACTGGGGCGCCTGGGGGGCTCAGTCGTCTGGGCGTCCGACTTCAGCTCCTGATCTGCAGGTCATGATCTCACGGGTCGTGGGTTCGAGCCCCGCGTCGGGCTCTGTGCTGACAGCTCGGAGCCTGGAGCTGCTTCCGATTCTGTGTCTGACTCTCTCTCTGCCCCTCCCCTGCTCCCGCCCTGTCTCTTTCTCTCTAAAAAATAAACATTAAAAAAAACCACCAGAAAAAACGGTTGTCAGATCTAGGAAAGAAGAGAGAGCGATCCCGATGTCACAGGAAGACTGGAGACTGTGGGCCAAGGTGGGAGGCATTAACTGAAAAGTCAAATTCAGGAGATCTTAAAACAACCAACTTCTTTTATTAGAAAGCAACAATCATGCAAATGGCAAGTGTAGAAATTTATTTGAACCAACATTTTCACTACCATGAAAATTACTCTTCCACACTGATCCAAGCTCTCGTATCTGAAGGTTCAGGGAAAATATTGCACTTTGCATTTTCTAGCACTCCTCACACGTGGCAAAAAGTTTTTAAAACATTTTGCTAGTTTTGTTTTACACACTCTCCCAAATGCATGCACACGGTCGTCCCAAACCCATGTCCGGTTACCCCCAGGACAGGGAGAAACGCCACAACGCCGTCACCTGCGCATCGCACTGAAGCTCCGTGAAGAAAAAACCCACTACGTGTCTGGTACGAACTCCAGGCCGTCTAAGCGCTTTGCCGAGAAGGGCTGGTTACTCCTCATCCTCGTTTTCGTTCTCCTGCCCGGAGCCTTCCGACCGGTCCCCCTCCAGCCGGTCTGGAAAACACGTGGGAGACGCACAAAAAGACGTGCTTTCAGTGTTGCAGTTAAGACAATGTCCAATACTGTCTTTCAAGCTGGCTAAAGCGCGTACGCACCACGCACCACACACCGCCGCGGGCACGCGGGCCCCCTGTGGGGGGGGCGGTTCATCAGAAGCAAATACAAGAGCCGGGAACAGCCCGGTGCCTTTGACTCACGTGAGTCTACACGTCCCCAGGTTACAAAGAAAAACCCTCGGGCTCCGGACACGTGGCGGGCACTCGGAGCCTCGGCCACCAGGAGACAGGGAGGGGCCGCGGGGCGCACCCCGAGGGCACACGCAGGGGGCGAGCTGGCGCGGGGACACGGCGTGTCCGCAGCCGCAAGCCATCCCCCCTCGTGAAGTGGCTCCGACCTTCCCGAGTCCCCAACCCGCAGAGCGAGCAGCCCCCTCCTCTCCACCCCCGACTGTCCCGTGTGTCCTGGGCCGAGACGGGCCTCCCTGCGGGGACGGTCCGCGCCCCTGGCCCCTCGCACCCCCTGCGCCCAGGGCAGGAGACCCGGCCTGGTCGGGCGCGTGGGGGAGGGGGCGCCACTTTGTGCCACAGGAGCCCCTCCCCAGGGTAACGCAGGAAACGGAGGTGGGACTGGGGGGGGGGGGGTTCAGTCCCGACTGTCAACAGCAAGAAGACCGACTCCTGACCCTTTATTTATGACCCGCAGAGGCTTAACCCCCCCCCCCGGGTCACCACCACCCAGAACAGCGGACAGAAGGGACCCCACGTTTTCTGTCCGAGTGAACGAGACTAAGTCCCTCTACGCGGACTCCGTTTTGAAATCAAACTAACGAGATCATGTACAGGGTTTATCATCTGAATTACACAGATTTTAGCTACTCTTATCATGTAGTAAGTGTTGAACACACATTTGCAGAATAAATGGACAAAAAGAAGATCTGGATTGACCTCCATCCGTCTCTAAGGGAGGAGCCGTGGAAGTTTCTGGCCCCGGGGGGGTGGGGGGGGGGCACGACGCCGCTGTCCGCGGGCAGGGCCACCCCGGCCTTCCGCTCGTCCTGGCCTCTCCTGCGGAAGTTTCCCGAAGACGCCCGCGTTCTGCGAGGCTGGGCGGCCGGAGCCGGGGTTGTGCCCGGCGAGTGTGACCACACGCGTATGCAGTCGGGGGGGAATGACAGCCGCGCTCTCCCGGAAGCGGGTGGTGAGGGTCAGGGACCCCGTGTGC